CTAAAGTTGTCAAGATAAGCTCAACATTTTGAAACACCAATATTAAGGTCATCTATACAACCATCATATGGTCCCCTAGGCAGGGTTAGACAATAGTCTATAAAGATATGGCCACTCCATATAAAAAAAAAAAAGGCTATAAACACCTATCCATAAAGTCTGTAAAACAAACAAACAAACAAACAAACAAAGTCATTGTAAAAAAAATAAGAACCGGAGCTTGACTGAAGCTCCATTGTCAGAAAGAAGACAGAAGCAGTGTTGAAGGACAGACAGAATAGAGCAGCACCATCTGGTGTTTGAGTGGAACTTTGCACAGAGCTCTTGTCAGGGTTCTGTGGCTCACAGGAGTCTCCATAGCTCCTTCCCCTTCCCCAGCCACGTGCTGATGCTACTGACAGCATCCCTTCCTGACAAACAGATAGAAAATACTCCTTCTTTGGGTGTCCTTGCTGGGACAGTGAGAGCTGAGCTGGAGGGTGTAAGTCTAGGGAGAGCAGCAGCATGTGGGTTCCAGTTTGGCGGGGGGGGGTGGGGGGTGGAGAGGAAGAGTAATCAGGGAGTGGGGGTGAGTAAGAGACTACTGGGCTGGAGCAGCATGGTGTAAGACCATTGCTGCAGTCAGGCAGGGATGTCAACCCAATATTTTTTTTACCTTTACTGACAAACTGCAACCAACCATTTTTACTATGGTTGGTATTAAAACACTAAATTTGAACCCAGCCATTGTCCATGGTCTGTCAGAAGGGTTATATTTACATTATGTAAAACATGCAATAAAAATGTATGTCAGTAAATAGTTTGGTTGTCAGTAAAAAGTTTTCAGATTGTCAGTGAAAAAGTTTGTCTTGGATTGGCAACCCCACCCTTTGGTGTCTGTATCTTATGGTCTCATCCAGACGAGTGCAGCTGTGAGGTATGTGGCACCACAGACACGTCTGCAGCACCACATACTGCACGTTCTGTTGTTCTCCATGCTGCAAGGGAACAATGCAAAGGTTTTTTTTGACCACTGGATATAAAAAAGTGGAGCATTGCACACGGCAGCACCATACACTGCCTAAAGCCAGAGCCTGGCCAGCCAGAGCCACACTCCACTGCTGGTCAGGCTATTTGTGGCAGGTTTGCTGCTGCTTAAGCCCCAGGAGGCCCCCAGGACCCCAGGTAAGGCTGCTGGGGCCAGCCCAGTGCTGGCCTCAGCCTCCCCTAATTCCACCTAGGGTAACTTGCTATGCACCAGCAAGCGCGTGGCATAGCCACTAGTAGCCCTAAGGGAACTAAATGTCCGCGCATGTCTGGATGTGGCCTATGATATACCTTGAATAGTAATAATCACAATACCCCTCTAGTCTTACAGCATTTTTACATATGCTCCAGGAGTGGGGAGGGAGGGAGGTGCTTTAATTAGAGAGGCTCTGAGAGCTGCTCTAATTAAAGCACCAAGAGCATCTCATTTATCAGCAGTCTCATGTTTCAAAATGGTAGCAGGGGTGCTTCATCTAAAGCTCCTTGATTGAGCTTTAGTTAAAGCATTCTTGCCACCATTTTGAAGCACAGGGATGCCAATATGGAGTACAAGACATGGGGGCTGGCTGAAGCAAAGTAATTACCACACTCCAGCATATTTGATTAACAGAATCTGCTCTGACATGCTGTAATTACAGCACATTGGAGCAGCCTCTGTGCTTGTGTATAGGCACCCTTCATGTTTAAATCTATTAATTTTCCCATATGGCTTGTGTTAGACGTATTAGTGAGAGTCCTAGGTTTCCCAAATTTACAGCAGGGCTAGAATTGGAGGAACTGTACCCTAAAGAATGCAATGCTGTAGTTAAGCAGGCTCACACAGTAGAGCTGCATTAAAGAAAGAGTTCCTGTTCTAGGAAAAACAGACTTAAGACAAATTTTCTCTCTCCTTCTTTAGGTCTTGGTGGTTCCTGAGTATAGGAAGCTGCTCATTAAGAATAATTTCAGTGGAGACACAGACAATTGATGTAAAACCAGTAGAGACAGACTGTACAATAACCAACCCAATCTTGACCCAGAGGTAAGTTAGGTATCAGGAGTTTTGCTCTACTAATACAGAGCAGAGCAGTGAGATCCCTAGATCTAACTTAAAGTAGAACTAGAATTGGAGGAGTTGCACTTTGAGAAACAGAGTTGTAACCAGCTGCCTGATGTCCTTTTTTCCAATCTTCTTTGTTGAGCAAATCGTAGTGCAAGGCCTTTCCTGATATTTTTTTGGTCTATCTGGGTTTGGGCTGTATAAATGGAGGTTAAGGCTGATTACAGATGTTTAAAAAAATGCTTTCCAAGAAGAAGGAGCAGATTAGTTTTACCCAGCTCTGCAGCATCTCTATAGATCAGGAACTTCAGCAGGGCTTTTTGGTGTTTTTATCTAATAGCTGATTGAACCAGCTACTAGATACAAGTGCCAAAAAGCCCCACTACAGTGCTCTATCTCTATAGACGTTGGGCAAACCGGGCCCAACCAACATGATGACTCTTCTGAGCATGTGCTGGGCTTGGCATGGGAGCATGCCAAATTTAACATAGAGCACTGTTTGTTTGGGGTTGTTTTTTTTAAGTCTGTAAGCAACCTAAATGTGTAATGACATCTCTGGGGTGCGGGTGTCTTTACTGAATATCAATACAGGTCATTCTACAACTCTCTAATTGCAGGCCTGGTTCAACCTCAGGAAATAAGTTAGGAAAAGACCCTTGCCCAGTTAAAAAGTGCAAAATCTATTATCAATAAGGATGAAAGACTTAAAGCTCAGAACTGGTTTGAGATTTATGTTCCTTTTATATTGGAACATCCATTTGTATACTGTGTGAGCTAAAGTCATTTGAACTCAATATCATTAAGATTTAGACAGGTTTTCAACATTCCAATGAATATGTATTCTCAGCGTACACCAAAAGTTTTCATTTATGCAGCACTGTATGTGGTGAATGCATATTAATAGTCATATATATTTGCACACAATGAATCCATTGTATAATAAACATTTTTGTTATAGCTTTGGTGTAAAGCTGTTCTGAAAACCTCAGTAGAAAGTTGCAGGTTTTGTATGAATGTCCTATTCAAATGAAAAGTCTAGAGACATGAGAATAATGTTTTTAAAAGGTACACAAGCACCAAAACAGTACTGGATCACAGTATAATATTCATTTTACTCTGTACTCTTGTAACTTAGCTGAACATAAAATTTTGGGGCAACTTTCAGTTGGAACAAGTTTTTATAGCTGAACTGTAAATCCCCAGAAGTAGGGATTTAAAATGGAGACACTGACAGATCCTTAACTATAGCACTGCTAGCGGGTGCTGCTGTAATCACATTAGATTATATTATAGATGGCAAAGAAGGTTTTGCGAGTCTGTCCATTGTGACTCTGTCTAATTTACAGTGTTCCTGTCAAGAAGAAATCAAATTTCATAGTTATGACATTTCTTTCTGGAGCACTAAATGTTAACTTTGCTGATCATGCATATTTTGGTAGAACAGCTTATTTCTAAATGGCAAACGTGATATAAAAAGTATGATGACTTCATTCAAAACCTTTATAAAGCAGCCCATTCTTATACCAATTTAAAGCAGGCAGAATCATAATTTATCAAATTATGAAATTAGGTAAATCTGAGTTGAATATGCTGTTTACATTTTAAAGTGCCTTATTATTTTATAATTAAATATTTCTGAAACATTGCCTGTTTTGTGAACTTATTATATGGACTTAAGCAGAGCAAGCATGTTATGAAATAGTGATGAAGAACAACAACAATACTACATCTATCCAAGAGTCTCACCGCAGAAGGCATCTACAGTCTTCATCCTTGTGCACTCACCACCCAAAAGGGAGAATAACTTGTGAAAATTGTGGAAGTCGCTGCTATGTAAGAGATGCTGCCTACCGCCTTTGAAAGGATATTATGCATCTCCTATTGTCATATTGGGACAATGTAATTTCGTGGTGTTAGGTAACCCTGTGCATCAATTACCCCACCTATAAAATTGGGATGATACTTTTAGTAAGCCATTGAAAGGACCAGGCATAAAAATCAGAATTACAGACTCCACAAATTCCCAGAATTATAACATGCTACAGGTATAAAATAATAAACTATAGATATATATATAAAACCAATGGGGGAAAACTGAACTCTCATATCTACCTAATAACATGACTGGACATTTTAATTTTAAAATATAACTAGAAATACACATACATGGAAAAAATAGAATCAATAACACCCTTTTAAGTTTTTGCTCAAGTAAAAATGTGATACAATTTTTCTAGAATTCTAGAAAAAAAGTTGGCATTGCAGTACAAACACTTCTCCAGCAAACCCACAATACTGATCCATCACACACCTATTTCTAATCTCCTTCCATGCTGAGACTCTATTCTCATCTTTTAAACGTAGTTCTGATATAGGAGTCACTCTTACAATTCTTATTACCAATTCTTTTCTAATAATAATAATATGAGTCTTCATCAGAAACTTTTTGAAAGTCTCTATATATTGTATCTATCCATTTAGAAAAAGAAGGTTTGTATTGCATCCATTAAGGTGCTTTTAATTATTTCCTCAGCTTTTATCCAAATACTAATCAAGATTCACCGCAGCTGAATTCTTAGAATCACCTGCGACACAAAACAAAGGTTAGTTTTTAAACATTTTCAAATAGCCTTTGTATTATTATTATTATTATCATCATGTGCAACAGTGTCTACCCTCCAACCTCTGATAAGTGGGAGTGTCTATTTTTAATGACATTTAGTACTTGCACCACTAGTACAGCTAATTTTTCTTTAACTTATTAGTTGTGTTCATCAGTATTTATTCATATTCCAGTAGCCCCTACGACTCCCATGAGGAGCTGTGCAGCCAGTGTACTTTATGCTGTACAAACACATAGCTTCTCATGCCATTTGTGAATCTGTTTCTTATTCATAAATAATAATTGATTTTAAGTTCGATATTAACCTCTTACCTTTATAACAGATGCGCCTGCTCTGGAAAGAGGACTATGCATCTGGGCTGCAGCAGCCATGTTAGCTATAGTATTGAGGTGATTCATTTGATTCATTGCCATTGCAACAGAAGCAGGAGGTAGGCTGACAGGGAGGAGGGGGTGGGGCATCATCATAAATGGCAGATCTATCCCTAAAAAAGATGGTCGTTGGTTATTCTCAGTTCATAATCCAACACTTTACTTCAATAGCAAAACTGGCATACTGCAGGAATAGCAACTAGTCTAGGTTGATACTAAGAGTTAACTATTCACATTATTAAGGTAATAGGGTAATTTAAAAATATTTAGAAAGTCATACAAAGAGTGTCTCATGCCGAATGGTACTTGCATCTTAAAAGCTTATTTATGAACTGTATTAATGAAAGAAAAATCCAGTTGCCAAGTAAAAGTCAATACGCATACATGCAAGCTCAATATCTCCTTCATCGGTAGTTGTAAAAATCCACAAGAAATGCAGATACTTGTATGGATATATTCAAACAGCTCAATGGAAATATGTTAAATAATACAGTCTATTCTTTCAATGTGCATACTTAACTCCTATGCATATTTTTAACTGTTATATATATGAAACATTTTGAGAATTGTGTGTAGGGGTCTACCCAACTAGAGGAGGCGGCCAGCTGATTTTGCAGGCAGACTGCAGAGCCAGCTGCCATTTTCATGGGATTATCATGGTGCACCCCCCACACTTCTTATTGCCCAAGGGGGCCCAGTGGCCCCACACCCCCCTGTCGATTGATGGAGAAAGCTATCCATCATACAGTCCCACCCATTGTCACTGACTGGTTATAGGGCTGTCTGTCATGCAGCCCCACCCCTTGCCATTGATTGGTGGATAAAAGTGGGACCACACATCAGGCAGACTTCTCTGCCAATCAGCAGTAAGAGGCAGGGTTGGCAGCCATCTTGCCTGCTTGCCTTTCTACCAGCAGCACCTTTCATGTTGGGCTTCACAGCTGGGTGGACTGCTGGCTTCCACTGGGGAGCCAGCATTTTAAGTACACTTTTTCCCCTGCAGATTTTGTGGAGATCATCTGATTATGCAATTTCTGCAGGTCCCTAATTATTTGAGAGGTGTATAAAAATTAGTATTCCTCTAAAGGATGAATACAAGATGAGGGATGAATCTGTGAATTAAATGTGCAAAGTTGTAGCTTTAGAGAAAAATTATTCCCACATAAAGGCCCTGATTATCACTTAAACAAAGGACACTTCACACTATATGGCAGCATAAAGCCACCTAAAAAGGAGTAATTAACCAGATTCTCTCACATATAACACATGCCTTTTTCCCTAAAAAAAGTCAGCCATAGCCCTCCTGCCCCCCACCCCCACCCCACCATTAGGGTGCATGCTTTAAGCAAGGAAGCCAAAAAAGAAGCACATTTGGACACACTGCCTGCCATGCAGCCACAATGATGGCTGCCACTTGTACCAGGCTCAAAAGATAAAGGGATGGAGTCTTGTGCTAACTTTCTCATTGCTGTAGCTTTTGGCTGAACACTGTATCTTGTACTGAAGCAGCAAATAAGCTCTTGGTAGTATCTGAATGAGGCATGTGATGTGGAAACAAAATGTTATTTACAGGAACTTATATAAAGAAGTACTTACAGAACGGTACTAACAATCTTGGTACTGCCTTTGTAAGTGCATGGGACCTAGCTTTGTGTGACAGAGTAATTCCTCCTGGAAACAGAGAGTGTTCAGAAAGTGTGGCATCCCAAGAAACAGCCTGCCACACTACAGAAGCTCCTGTTGCCAGTCCTGACACTAGAAACATCTTTTTTCTACATTGTGACATCCAAAAGCAAGGTGCATCTTATATGAGAAAAATTGGTACATGACATTTATAAACCCATACTAAAGCTCTTTAAATTGCCAGAGTGGTCCAAAGTGTTCCCTTAACATGCTTCTGTACTGAATCACATTAACAATTGATCACCTAGGGTGCCTACACACATGCAGAGGCTGTTCCAATGCGTTGTAATTATAACGCGTTGGAGCAGACTCGATTAATCAAGTCTGCTGGAGTGTGGTAATTACTGTGCTCTAGCAGACTGCAGCTTCATATGTATCAGCATCCCTGCACTGAAAAATGGTGGCAGGGGTGCTTTAACCAAAGTTCATTCAATGAGCTTTAGTTAAAGCACCTCCACTGTCATTTTTCAGAGCAGGGACAGGGACACTAATACATGTGACACTCTGGGCACTTTAATTAGAGCAGATTTTTGGAGCTGCTCTAATTAAAGTGCCGCCCCCACCCCGGCTTCCCGGAGCATGTCTATAAAACACCTAGTTTGAGGGAACATTTCTGACACTTAGGTAGCACAAACAAGCTAAACAACTAAGGAAATTTTAAGTCCTCTAGCTTTTAGTAAAGCCTTAACTCGGGAGGAATTACCTGTTCCCATCTACTTTTGGACATCCACACTGACTGTCTCAAGAAAACTAGGACGGTTTCTGCCACTAATAAGACTTTTTACTACGTATAACTTCCTGCAAAGGGAATTTAGGCAGAGCAGGCATTCTCATCACAAACCTTAAGCAAAACATGAAAAAGACATTATTATATAGCCAGTCATAATTATAACACCCATATATAATGAAGGTGTATTTGCTTCAGAATCCTTTATTTATAAAATGGTCCCTGTCAATATTAATCAGGAAGGGTAACAAGACAGAGCCCACGGGCATCTCCCTTAACGTCAAACTATCCTGAAAATTCCTTTCAGCACTTACATAATTAAGTAGGAACCTACTTAATTCGCTGATTTCGCAGAACTGTCTGCTAAATCAATAACAACAACAAAAACTTAATAAAAATAAAATGCTGTCTCCCCAGTGGGAGCCAGTGGTCCTCACTGTCAGGAAGGGAAGGCACCAGCTAGCAGGGGGACAGGAAGGGCATCAGAAAAGATGGCCACTACCCCCTCATCCCTACACCTGAGATCTCTCCGCCAATCAATACCAAGGGGTGGTGCCACATGAAGGGCAGCCAGTAATCAAGATGGCAGCTGCCCCCTCATACCTCCTGAGGCCCCTCCAACAATCAGCATTGAATGGCAGGGCTGCAAAGTGTCAGCCAGCCATCAAGATGATGGCCACCCCTTTGTCCCTCCTCCTCCCAGGCCTCTCTAACAATCAGTGTTGAGGGGCAGGGCTGCAGCAAAATGATTGGGGAACTAGAATTGTATGTTGTGATCAATCCATGAAAATTGGTAAGTACACCTGTGATTTAGGTATATCCCTATACAATAAGCCTTTGTTCCACTGTATCTCTCCCATAGCAACCCAGCAATCTCTCCTTGCACTCTACAGAGTTCAAAAACTCCCAAACACCATCTGTCCACATTGAGTTGTATTGTATATCTACTTAAAGTCCAATTGGCATGCAAACTAAATGCAAACTGCAAACAGAATTTAACAGCATAGCTCCAGTTTTAAGACGCAATCGATCAAGCATTACAGAGGACTATGAAGGAAATACATCTTACACTTGCAAGTATGAGACATAACATTTGATATTCAGCAAACCCTGTAACAGTCTATAGACAACTGCCTAGCATAAAAGATACTGAAAAGTATCTTGAAGGATTACCTAAACAGAGAAGGACAGAATATCCCCATATGTATAACATGTGCAGATTCTCAATTATGTAAGTCTGCCTATTCCCAAGATACAGAACATAAAATAAAAGACTTCTTTACGTTAAGCAATGTGTGGTCTACTTAATCAGATGGCAGAATTACCCAGAGATTTTAACTTTTTTGTGAATGGGGCCAAGCACATATTATAGGGAATATTCAGTCTTGGCTTCTCTACTGAAAATTGTGGCTCCACATTCATAATGATAGAGATATTTCTTCCTAAAATTTTTTTTTGAAAAAAACTAGATCTTTCATGTGTTTTTGAAAAGTAATATCTATAAACCAACTAATCAATCTCAGATAAAGAAATAAGAATGAGCAAATCAAATTTCTTTAACATCACAAACCTGTTCCCATTCCTTTACCCACTTCTTTCCACAATTTTCCAAAATCCACATTTTTTTATTCCTTTAACTTGCATTTGTTTGATATTGTTATCTGGGCAGTAATATAATACCCTATAAAATATTTGTACCCACATTCTCTGCTGTAATAATCCCACATAACTCAATAGAGTTAGGCCAGCAGAGAATTTGTGCCACAGTCTTCACTACTTAGAGTAGATTTTTACAACTCTTAATCCAAGAGATTTGAGAGACTGTGGAAGAAGATCCATCATTTTTATATCACCATCACATTTATCTAAATAAAAGCTTTAAGACATAGAAACTGAATACATTTATAATGTTTTAGTAGTGCCTACTAAGTTTCAGGCTAAATTTCCTTCATTAATTTTAAAATAGTGAAAATAAGATTGCATACTGTATAGACTGATTATCTAAAACACAAGATTTATATTGTTTTAGGGAGGTTTAAGTTACCAATAAAAGAAAACACTTCAGTTCATGAAGTAAGAAAATATTATGAGAGTGTGTCTAAACAGAAAATTAATCAAGGCTGTTAGCTGATTCACATCTTGCTGGCACAAATTCATTTAAAGGTACCATGGGATCTAATTCCCAATCCCAACAACCATGCCTCCTGCCCTGCCATATGTGCGTGGTAGGAGGTACAATTTTGGGATCAAATCCCAATCAGGCTCTTTCTACTTTCCAGTGCAGGGGTAGCCCAGGATCATGATCCCAGGCTTCCTCTGCACCAGCAAGTTGAAAGCCAGGTGCCTAGAGCCCGAGGCCTTCAATATGCCCCTGTGCAATTCCAGGGCCAGGACTGACAATCAGCTGATTTTTGGCCACAGCCTCAGCCCCTCCTGGGGCCAGTACAAGATGGTGGGCCAGTGATTGTCAGGCCTGAGGTAGTCCCACACATGCCACTTGTTCAATTAAGACACTGCGCAAACCAACCTCAAAAATGTTTTACTCTTTTGTGGAATGGTTTTATGGCTGGTTTGCCATTTCATGGCACTTTACATAGGGTGTAATGAACACTTTAATTGAGGCATAAATGTAACATATAGAGAGGCCAAGAGTCAGGTGTACCCACCTTAAGTCACTAGTTCTATTCCAATTCAGTACAAATGCAAAGCAGTGTTAAACAGGTCTCACAGGGTATATCTTCACCAGGTTGGCAATATGTCCCAGCAAAGACCCATTTGAGCATACCCTGCTTGCTCAATCCCACTACAAGGCAGCCCACCTTGATATACACCGATGAGGCTATTGCAAAGTGGTCTCTAACAGCTCTCTCTCTCAAGTATGCCAGAAACCAAGATATTGAGAGCAGTAGCAAAAGGACATACCAGGACATTTCTACTGGTGTATTTCCAGGTTTGGCATATGCATGCCAGAGCAAATAGGTAGGCCAGCTTAGGAATGCTGCAGCCAGGGGCTGCTGCCGTAGTGCAGTCATACTGGTGCCTGTACATGTTTGGGGATGCTCTGACATGCTGTAATTAAAGTGCATCAGAGCTGACTCAATTAATCGAGTGCTAATTAGCATGCTCCAGCAGACATGATTAATCGAGCCTGCTCCAACACGTTCTAATTACAGTGCATCAGAGCAGCATCCCCACACGTGTACAGGCACCAATATGACTACACTAGGGCAGCAGCCCCTGGCTGCAGCATTCCTAAGCTTGCCTACCTGTTTGTTTTGGCATGCATATGCCAAACCTGGAAATACACCAGTAGAAATGTCCTGGGATGTCCTTTTGCCACTGCTCTCAATATCGTGGTTTCTGGCATGCTAATTAGCATGCTCCAGCAGCCTCCACTTCTTATGTATTCAGTGTCCTCATGCTTTGCACTTCAAAATGCAAAGCATTTTGGTGGGAGAGGTGTTTTAACTAAAGCTATTCAAACGAGCTTTAAAGAATCTCTGCCACCATTTAGAAGCAAGGACGCTCAATACACGAGACGCTGTGGACATTTTTTTTTAGAGCAGCTCTTGGAGCTGTTCTAATTAAAGCACCCCTCTCCCCACCCCTATGGAGCATGTGTAAAAATGCCTAGTGTCTCTATCAAATGCTCATTTTGCTAACTTGAGTGTTAAATTGATGAAGGTGGGAACACATACTATCCTAACATTTTCATTCCTCCTTGCCCAAGAGAAGAGGAAGAATAGACTTGTGCTGATTTCCTCTCCCCCTGCTTCCTAAGGAAAGGTTACTTGTTGGCTCTAACAGTTCAGTTCCATTCAGTTCAGTTCAATGAAGTTTTGGCATCTGTGTGTGTGTGTGTGTGTGTGTGTGTGTGTGTGTGTGTGTGTGTGTGTGTGTGTGTGTGTGTGTGTGTGCGCGCGCGCGCCCCTTATTGTTTTCTTAGATGCCAGAGTTCATCTATGACATGTTTCTAAATTCTTCTAATGCCTTATATGTTACCACACTGTATTTATTATTTAGCAACTGCTTATAGATCATTCATCCTTCATAGCCGAACACTATGAGAACAAAAGAAAGCATCTAAAAACGTATTTTTTTTTCTTTACAAGGGCATTATACATACTGTTGGTGAGTAGGTGATTTTGCTGGAGAGGACTGAGGGGATGTGCACTTCCGAGGCTGGACTGCCCTGACAGTGTGGCATGACCAACACCATGCTGTGATCCTGTTGTAATAGGAGACTGAAGTTTCTCTTTATCCCAGGAAGACTCGCTCCCACCTGAAAATAGAAAAGTGTACAGAGATTGTAAATACCATTTTTTTCTTGACCAGGTGTTGTGGGATTTACTGAAACTGGTTTAATTGTCCAAAACTGTTTGCATTTCAAATTTTATTTTAGAATACATTGTACCTGACTGAGGATGTAGCACCAAAAAGGAACCTAAAAAAGTAATTCTGTAAACAGCAACAAGGACAAATGACACAACTAGAAAATTCCATCATAATTCACCTCAAACCGTACCAATTACTGGAAACAGGGAAAGCTAAATGTTCAGGGCCACAAAGACCCAAGAAGAAAAGGCACACAATTAGGGATATAGGACTGAAAGAGATCTTCTAGGTCATCATGCCCATTTGCTACCATCACAGGCAAGCACATCAAATTCTAACTGAAAAACATCACAGAACTTACTACACTGCCCCTAGTCCAGTATGGACTGATCCTGGAGAAATGAAATGGTTACGCTCAGCTAATATCAACTACCATGCTGGATCAAAAACTAAAAGACTTAATTTCTTTAATTATTTACCATTATATATATATTTTAGAAGAGCTAGGAGAGTACTATGTTTCAAATAGGACTTGCTAAAAAAATTAAATAAAGATGGTGCCACCTAGTACTGATCTACCAGGGTGAGAAAACGTATGCAAGGATTTGAAGTAACTTGCTTTAGGCCACAGAAGGTATCAGTTTAGTACAAGGATTAGAATTTAGTAGCTCTTCACTCCTAGACCTGTAAATGGGAAACCAGAAAGGAGTTTGTTTAAATGCTAACTTCAGACCATGCTGAAAAGAGTCCAATGCTGAGCTTGGTGAGAGTTAATTCTAAGGCATTTAAGTCTAGCATTTAGATAAATTTGTGTTCATAGTTATTAAAGTCTAAGGCAGAAAACAAAGCATGTTAGATCAAGCAGTGTAATACTAACTTGTTTAGTGTTCTAAAAAGATCTTATTTCATACTGGCTTTTAGCAATCCCTACACAACTAAAGCAGGCACATGTACAATCAGATATGCCTATTAAACAACAGTTAGGTAGACCAGGGTAGTACATATTCTGAAATGAATCCAGTGCACAAAACAAAATGCTAAAGATGGATAGTTTTAAGAAGCTGACTATTTCTGGGACAGAAAAGACCAAGAGAGTAATCTAGGTACTATCCTTATCCCCAGGTGCCAAATGTTTTAAATTTAATTAGAGATTAGCATTTAAATGTATATCTGTGGTATTGACATTATCTAGACTTTATTAACTGGAATTTCAATTAGAATCAGTAATACACTGTTATGATGCAATGGACAGAGGCAGCAGACAAGAAAATGTGTTTTAATTGAAGATGAAAGCAACAGCATAAAAACATTCAACATTCTTTATGATAACATTCAGCTAATAAACATGATTAATATCACCAAATGCAAAAGTCTGAAAGATCAATGATTGAGCAAAAAGGAAATCACTCCCTCATTTTAACACTATGTCCAAGCTATGAATTACTTTCCATTACAGATTTGCAATTTGTAAAATGATGAGCAACACATTGACAAAAAGATACATTTACACAGTACTAAATTATGCCATATGATATGATATAATATGGCATAATTACAGCAATGCTCAGTTGCACTGCTACAGTTAAGGTTGTGTCAGCAGTTCCATTATAAATTTAATATACTGTATACTGCCTATTTCAAATCATATCTGACTGAAACTTAGTGCACCAGTTATTCACATGTGAAGATTCTGAAGTACAGCCATTATCATTTGATATAATATTCCTTGAGCTAAATCCAGAAGTGAAAAAAAAGCTTATCAAAGAAAACCTTTTAAGAACTGATTTTGCTAAATGAATAGTAACATTTTTTAGACACTTTTCAGTAAGTTTTACTCCAATGTCTAAATTAAAGCATACATGAGATTTTCAAAGTTCAGTTTATATGTGCCTAAGACTTTTACTGATTCTAGATTTTATCTGATACTTAGGACTACTTGCAGACATGAACGCCCCCCCCGCCCCCCCCAAACAGAGTGCATTGGAAGAGGAAGTGTGTTAGTTCTACCTGGCTCCATAGTGTCTGTATAGATCAGGCACTTCAGCGGGGCTTTTTGGAACTTTTAATCTAAAGCTAATTCAATCAGCTATTAGATAAAAGCATGAA